GTTTTAATACCAGTTTGCTTCTTCCTTTCACCAGAAACCTTAACCAGTGCTCCCTTCTGAGTGTCACAGGGGAAGGTTTGCGATCAGATTTAAGCTGTGCACACAAAATTGTACGAGATCAGGTGCTACTGCTACCTGGGAATACATCCTTGTGAAGTAGTTTGGATATAAAAAAAAGCCTAAACACGCACCCAGAAACTAATGGAAAATCCCCAAGAGTTGCCATGGAAGCTGGTTTTACCAGAGGGGCAGAAAAAAAAAACAACTCTTGAAGGGATTTCAGAAGCACAAGAAACAAAACAAAAGGGCAATGCCACAGGAAATGCCTGAGGTCCAGCAAACAAAAACAACGTGTGTTACACGCCAGGAATGTTCCACGTGGGATTTCCAACTTGGCGAAAATCCCAGGGTGAAAAAGCACCTGCTCTAGTTTCCCTGGCACCCTTTGTCCTGATGAGAGCTCAGCTGAGGCGAAAAGCTCTCCCCACCTCTCCACTGCCTCAAGGTAGAATCAAGCGAAATTTTAGCAGAGAGCTGTGCAAAGGGATTTTTGAGAGGGCATCCGGCCCGTAACGCGTCTCTGCGGTAGGGTCGATTCAGCCTGTTCTTGATTGTCCAAGTGGCTTTTGAGAAACTGATGGGCAAACAAACCCTCGGGAGTAATTTCTTTCAGTCTCTGGAAAGGGGCCCCAGCCCAAAGGCCAACTCAGCGTGTGGTGCCTCATTTGGTAGAAGCTGAGGAGCACAAGCTGAGCTGCAAGGAGAGGCAAAACCCACTTTATGTGTGGACGCTGCTGTCTGGGGCTGCTGGTTACCATCTATATGATTCAGATTATTATCATTTTTTTAAATTTAAAGGCATAATGGTCAAGACCATTCTCTGCCTTCCTCGGCAAATCTCTCGATAGATGTTCTCTCCTTGGACTAACAAGTGCTGGCAGAGTCATCCCAGGATATCACTTCAAAACAAAAAAAAATGGAATAACTACATGAATTCAGAAACTTTCAAGTACTTCAATCCAGGATTTTATCTGAGAACTGGCGCAACCTTGTATTTTCGAAACTCACAAGGGCACCTCATCGTTAGTTAGCCATGAGCACACACTCATGGAAATCGTGACTAAGGCAACAACCTCATGCCCAGCTCACACATCATCGCCGAGGAGAAGCAAACCCCCAGACTTACAGTAAAAACCCTTTTGCTTCAGATCGCTATCGGTGACGTGCGCCAGCAGATCCTGACCTTAAATGAACTGATGGGTGTGCTGGGGCACAAATGATGTTACGGGATGCGCCAGCAGGACAGGAGGAGGATTATAAGGAAGAAGAGGCTAAAAATAGCTCAGTTCCGAATAAACCAACCTACCGTGCTGGAAAATATATTAAAGTGACTCCTCTGTTAGCCCACACGTGCCTTCTGCTTGCTTCTTCACCTTGCTCTGGAACAGCTGGTACCAGCCAGAGCCTTAAATAAGACGCTGGCCTTAGCCCCAGGGCACATGAGATTTGTCCTGGCATTTCCCCAGCTCTGCAGGCTGAGCTCAGACGTGAGCAGCACCGAGTAGCTGCCATCAGGCCAGACAGCACGAGCAGAAAGTGCCCCAACTCGGTTATTGGGAGTCTCTCTGTTGCTCCAGATGATGACGGAATCACCACCACAGACAGCGCTGCGATTTCACCGAGTGCTCTGAAGCATTACACGTGGGTTTTGTGGGGTTTTTTTAAGGAATGCCTCCCGCTGCTGACAGGGGGTAAATGCTTGCGCAGCAAGAAAATTCCAGACGTGTGAAAGAAAGTTAATCTTCTGCCAATGTTCAAATAAGGCAGGTAGATTAACTGCCATGATTATTAGACACGAGGCTTTATCTGAGTGTTAAAGCATGCTAAAGGAAAAAGTGATTACTAAGTAAGGATTAATCTGTTTCACCTTGGGAAGACAAAGCACCTCTTCAGAGAAATAAATTCCTGTAAACAGGCATGGGGTAAAACAGGTCCAATATTCAAATGTATTAAAAATCTGAAAAACTGACTGCATTTGAACCACTTAGAAACATCCTCACCGCAGTGCAAGGTCTCACAGGGGAGTCACTTGTAACGTGAAATAATTTTAGATACAAGTCTGTTTCCCGTAAGGACTTAAAGCACAAGTCTCAAATGTGACAAATCATTGATTAAATTACTGATCAAAACACAAAATAGTTACCAGCTACCAGCGAGCAGACCATCTTAAGATTATCACAGTGGGATTATTTTTTTAGTGGAGCTTACACATTGCCCACCGTCCCTTTTCAAAACGCTTTTCCACGTCAGCTCGGCCCCATTCCCTCGGGCTCTACTGAGGCATCATCAGCAGAACAGACAGACCCACAGAGTAGCTCAGGTGGGAAAAGACCTTTAGATCATTGGGTCTAACCATTAACTCAACGTTCACAAGTTTGAGACTGAAGTTGCAGCAAAACCAACAGCGGGAGGAAGCCACCAGTGCCTTTGCGTGGCCATTGATGACCCTACAGAGCAGATGGAACCAAAAATCCCAGCTGACACAGCAGCACTCCGCTGTCTTTGTGCGACACACGTGGTATGTGACGGGTGAGATCGGAGTTCGGGCTGTGTCTGCGCAGCAGGATCTTTATCCCACCCCTGCCAGCTGATCGAGCTGGATTCCTTCGCCGCGCTCGGAGGACGCACTGAAGCCACCCAGCCACTGGCTCAGCGGAGCTTCCCCAGCACTCGGGAAATCTTTGCACAGTACCAGGTAGGTGTGTTTTACCCGCAAGGGTGGAAAAAGCTGAGCGTGGAACTCTTTGCTAAGGCTTTGGGAGCCGACCAGCTGCCCCTGGGTGCTCCATCCTGTAACCGCTGTTAATGCTCCAGAAGCCGACTCTGAACAATGTCAAACTTTTCGGTTTCGGAGAAATCCTCCCCCGTTTTCTGTGGACATCAGAGCATGCTCATACTTAACACATCGCAGCTGATGCATCTTTCTGGGTGAAAGACCCTCCCACTCTCGAGAACTTGGAATTCTGAAATCAAAACATTTGCTTTGATTTAAGACCTCCTGCTGCCACGTGCCACAAACCAGTCTTTGTGTCTAGAAACTTGTGAGAACAGCCATGGCCTCAAGCTCAAAACTGTTTTTTCCTCCCTGGTCTCCTAGTGAACAGGGAGAGATCCCAGAAGCGTATGTGGAAAGCTTGGAAAACCCCTGGTGTCCCATAACAGGCATTTTAAGTAACTTGACTAAAGTGGTTTTGTCTCTCAGCACAGCACTTGTGTCCACCAGTTACTGTTTTACCTCTTCAATTTAATTGCTAGCACCAACCCTGCCAACCGAAACAAGAACCAGGACCACAAAAATACCCTGAAAATACTCAGGCTTGCAGAGGCAGCCAAGTGAGAGAGACTTCCCTCGTACTCCGTGGCCACTGGGTATCCAACACTTGCACAGCTGAAACTCCCAGCCCTACATCCCACGCAGCACCCAGAGAAAATGCCGCTTCTTTGGAGAGGTGGGTGATCATCAAGGGATCCTCTACATCCAGAAAAGTGTGTGAGACACCAGCGATGGGTCATGAGGTCTAAAAGGAGGAGAATGAAATCTCTTGTGCCCGAGTTAGATTTACTGCAGCATAATTCTTCCGGGATGTGGCGCTGACATGGGCACCACTCAAATTCAAACTCTGGGTGCTGTGTTGTATCACCTGTTCTGTCATCAGTGAGTCACTGAAAGGGGTCTGGTATCTCATCCAACAGTTTGCCCTCTCCTGTCCCAGCACTGCTGAGAAGTAACCTTCTGCTTTCCAGTCCGCAACATTTCCACTGACTCCATGTGCTTAATGACACAGTCCAGCTGCTCTCACGCTTTGACCCAAATGTGAGGGAATGAATTATGTTCTCTCATTTAAAAAAAAAATAAAAATAAAATCTGCAATGAGTTGCATTCAGGAAATTCAACAGATGCCAAACAACTTATCTTTAAATAAGTATTGTCTATGAAAACACACAGCACAGATGGCTCACAGTGGCAGGAATAACTACAACACGTGAAGAGCAACACCCACTGCCAAACCACTGTAAAATACACGTTAAAAAAGATATTTGGAGAAATGTTAGTGACCCATCAGCAGAATTACTAGCTGGGTAGGGTACATAAGAAGGGAGCCCTATCTGACTTGGAGAGCTGCCTTTCTGTTCTTTCCTACATTTCAAAAAAACCCAAAACAAACAGAGGGCTAAGTGCCACTATTTCCAAAAACAGTTGTTTCAGCGAGATAATTTCAAAGAAGTAGGAAGTTTTATTGCATACTGATTTCTCCCTGACCAGAGGTTCAGCTTTCAGCCTAGAAAGATCACAGAGAGGGCCTCAATCCATTCCAGTTACAGAAGATACCAATTATTCTCACAATTCAAGAGAACGCACACGAGAGAGGTTGGCAGTCAGAGCAAGGCAGTGCCTCTGGAGCTCGTGTCCTGTCAAGAACAGCCTTTTGAAACAGCGCACACCACTGAGCAGCTGCTGCCTCCCATATGTGCATTTACCACAGGTAAAAGCTGCGAATCAACACGCCGACCAAAAATGGAGTGATCACAAACACGGCCTCTCCCCGTGACACAAAGGGCAGCACCGCAGGCTTGGTAACCCCACCTGCGGCACCCTGGGGCTGGAGCAGCAAAGGAGCTTGTAAGTTAGGAGGGACAGCCGCTCCCCAGGCTCTCCTTCCCCTTTCACATTCACCTACACAGTTCCTGCAGGAGTTCCTTCATGTCACTGGCCTCTAGCCTGCTAGACCGACAAACCAAGGATCACAAAGTAATACAGCAAAAATTAAGAAGTCCTTTGCACCCACAACACCGTGTAGATTGCCACGCGGTCTATACTCTCAGGTCGACTTAATACTTAACGTAAGAGATGCCCACCCCCCCACCTGGTTGGAGTCCTTCGCTCAAGTTTGTGAGTTTTTTTTTTTAGACACAGAAAGAGAATGTTTGTCTCCAATTTAGGAAAGAATCAGATGTAAGAGGAATCCAGCGGACCACCTTCTTGAAAGGGAACACAAAACTGTGCGGAAAGAGACTGTCCGTTCCTCAGCTGACTCGGAATCCCTTACGTGATGTCCTTCTTTCTTGGCGGCCGGTGAATGTTCCTCACCACACATTTCACCATCCATTCGATTCCCTCGTTCACTCCTTTCCTACGGAAATATGAGGAGCAGACAAGATTTAAAAAAAACACCAAAGCACAACAAACAACTACCACCACCAGCCAGAAACAAACCCATGGCTCACACAGTCCCTAACGGAGCCCTTACAGCAGCCCTGCTGTTATTCATCGGCATTACTACATCAGTTTCTCATACACACAAACAACAGGGACCTGATTTCTTTTAAATCAGGGTGTAAACTCCATCCTCCATTTTTCTGGTGTCTATGCAAGTCTACCCCCAGTTTAGTTAGTCATCAACTCTGCGCAACCCTGGGTATGAACAAGCACCAAACCACTTCACAGCTGGTTTGAGGTTATTTTCCTACAAGCCTCAGGCTGAGTTGTATC